CACTCACCTCAGCCTCCCAAAGCGCTGGGATTACAGGCTGAGCCACCGAGCCCGGCTGGGTGCTGTTTCTAATATGACCAACCAACAAGGGGTCCGTGTTATCTTTTATGTTATGTGACGTGTTCAAGGCCACAGTCTGACGATAAAGCCTGCTACCTGTGCTTTTATCACGGTAAGCCTGGGAGGCTAGAAAAGGAAGTTGCCACAAGCCAACTGAGTCTTATCCTAAACAGCATTGTACAAGCCACGCAGCACCCGGAGAAGCACCACTCACCACCAGTTCATCCTAGTGGGGAGGGTTTGGAGGGCATTTTTCAGAATCCTAATTCATTTAGAATTCTAATGGAAAAATTTTAAAGCAGCAACCCGTGGGAAAATCAAAAGCAAACAACAGCATGACAGACTAGGCTAATCTCTGACATCTTTTCCAACCCTGGTCCTAGGCTATGGAAACTCCCGTTGGGCGACAGATCCGATGCCCATGGTCCCACAGGACCTCTGGAATGCCCAAAGGAAGAGCCTGTCAAGCTGGTGTCACAGGCGGGCATTCATTCGCTTAATAACATTTGCTGAATGGATATTTTGTGCCTGGAGATAACCAGATGATAAGACAATCCCGCCCTCGAAGGGCTCAGAGTTGTTTCCATGTATCTTAATGGTCTGGAAAGGAGTAAAGCCTATCTGACAGGTATGGCCACTCAGTTGTTGGGAACATTCGTGGTTCACAAGAGATTGTGGCTGAAAGGAGCCTTTGTGACGCACATTCTCTGACCACTAGAAGGAAACAAACCAAGGGCGGGGTGTCGTTGAAGGAGGCCAAGCAGAGAAAACACAGTTTGTTTTCTAGAAAGACCAACCCATCATGTCTCTCCTCTGCTTCAAGGCTGCTTCTAGACTCCCTGCTGCCATAGGCCCAGGCTCTGCCTCTTCTGAGGCATGTGAAGCCCAAGCTTGTCTGCGTCCCTACCTGCCTCACGCTTGGGACTCCAGCAACTGAACCGTGGAGTTGCCTTAAACACGCCATGCTGTTTTCCGTCTTGCCCGTGCAGACTTCTGCCTCTCGGAGCTTGGTCCTTCTTTCTTCATCTTGCTAATGTCTGCTCGCTCTTTAAAACCCAGCTGCAGGTTGGGCGAGATGGCTCACACCTGTAATCCCAGCACTTTGGGAAACTGAGGCAAGAGGATTGCCTGAGCCAGGGAGTTCAAGACCAGCCCAGGCAACATAGCAAGACTTTGTCTCTACAAAAATAAAACACAACAGCGGTACCCCATGTCCTCCAGAAAGTCCTCCTGACCCTCTCACCCAGGCCGAGGGAAGTGTCCCTTCTCCGAGATCTCTTAATACATTCTCTTGTTTTATTCCTGCTCTCAGCTATATTGCCCATGTCTCAGGTGGCGACTGCGTCATTTCTTGTCCTCCACCAGCACAACTTGTAGGCTGTCAGTCTGCACTAATTAGAGCTAACATCAGGGCTGGCTTTTTGCTTGATGCCTTGATAAGTGCTGTACAAGATGATCTCATCTAATTCTCACTTCTGAGATGTGTATTTGTGTTATTCTTGCTTTAAATAAAAGAAAACCATGGCCCAGAGAGATTGTCTTGCCCAAGAACATAAGAGGGATAGGATTTAAACCTACACAGCTGCCTCCAGAGTCCAAGCTCTTAATCATGGAATGTACATGGAACGAGAAAACTCAGGAATGAAACAGTAGATTCGGGTGAAACAATCCCGGAAGGCTGCCTGGAGGAGATGGTTTTTGGACCATAGCTATAACTTGGATAAAAGAAGTGAGGGGAGGACCGCTTTTAGGACCTGGAAGCCAAGATGAATGAATCGTATAGGAGTGACATCGTGTCCAGTGACCTATCCAGGCTTTGAGGGCTCCACACAGGACAGTCAGGGCAATGTCGTCAGAGGGTGATAAATGGTCTGGACTGGGAGCCCCAAGGCTGGCTTTCTCTCTGGTTCTGACTCCA